CCCCACCCCCCTGATACCCCCCACAGAGTGACAGCAGCCATGCCTCTTCCTGGCCATTACACGCTGTAATTGTTTCTTTATTTTCCTCCTGTCAGACCTTCGGCACTACCTTCCTGTGGCCTTATGTCACCCTCTGGACCCACAGAGAGCATAAGGCCAGATCAATGAGCTCACCCACAAAGCCCCGACAGTACGGGCTCACACATAATTCACCAGTCGCACGTCACGCTGACTAACTGGAGTTTTTATAAAGGTCAGCGAACAGAGGGATAAAACAGAGTCAACAACCCATGGCATCTTATGTCAAGGAACATAACTTTAACGTCCATTTACAAAACTCACTGTCCTCCATTGATGGGTGGAAACAACCAGGTAAATATCAACCAATCTTGGTCTTAAATGACATCCAGTGTTGATATTGAGGTCTTTCAGTTGATGTTATTGCTGCCATGCAGACAAAATAGGGAGAAAATACTGTAAGCTATGCTCTGTTCTGCTAGCATTTGATGTCTGATGGTAGCTAGTTTCACACCAAATAATCATTTACATATATATGTGTCTCCATCACTGTCTTCTATGCTTGTCTGTGTCAAGGGTCTGTGTGATGAGGGAACCTGAGCAACCCACACAGCGGAAGCCTTTACACAAGATCTGGCAATTCGTCCTTCGATGACATTTGATACAGCCCTATTATGGATATCAGCACTTTAACATGCTATGGCGGAGGTTTAAATGAAGAACAGAGTATTGTTTTGGCTAAAGTTGCTTGAAGTTGGGAGACTTTACATTCTATAAATGATGACTTTCAAAAGTTACGCTGAAAAGCTTACAAAGCTACAAAGTTGGATGTTAATTATCTTAATTAGCGATCCTTTTCACAATATACAGTCATTTCACCCATTTTTATGTGCAAAACATACATCAGTGCAGTTTAAAAGTTTACAACAAAATAAGCCTGCAGCCGGTTGAGATATGTGCCATAGCTGCATTATCTAATTAAGGAACAGATGGGTCTCAAGTGGGTTGAACCTGAACTCAATGGAAAGCATAAAGGTATTATTATGATGTGCAGACACATCAGCTTAGTGTTGGATTTATTTAGTTAGTCTTTCTTACTTTTGCTTTTGTCACTAGCTTTCTAGATCCAGATGTTGCAGCTGGAGTTACATGGAAAAACATGCTATTTTTAAGCAGGATGGTAGTCAAATGAACACACACGTAATTGCCTTCCTCAAACAACTGTATTTCAGAAGTGAGACAGGTGGAGAGTTGGTGGAACATTTTAATACTGATTCATGTAAAAGCAGTGAATTAGCCACTGTTATTCATGGACACAGCGCATTGATTGCAGCCTTCAATATGGTGACATCACTGCAAGACCTCAATAGTATGTCTACTTTTTATTTTTAGAAAATCTTTATCTTTTCTGGTGTTAACTCTGTCTACAAAATCAATGCATCTGCACGTCAATATCATTTACAGTGCAGGGNNGGGGGGGGGGGGGGGGTGGAAGCTGAAGTTTGGTGGGTTTACCCAGCATTTATTCCTGTTGACATTTAGCTACAAAAAAAACAAACAATAAAGCCATTGAGGAAATAGACAACCGAGGAGAGCCGAGCGCCAAGTTTGGGCCAGACCAAGATCTTGATGGGCTGTACTGTACGTGACAGGTGTGGGCCTGCAGCTCTCACCTCCCATTTGCTGTCCTGGGTTTTCCTCTTGAGCTGGATGTTCCAGTTCTCTGTGTCCACCTCGGCGCAGTGAGCGATGGTCATGGCCACTGGGCAGAAGAGGTCCAGACCTGGAGGGCCGTACGTCACCTCTGGGCCCAGGAGGATTTCACAGCCTTCCAGTGTTTGGACACTAAACACACAGTGACACACACGGGTACACAGAATGAGGCACATTGTAAAAGATACATAAACAGAAGCTGTGTTCCTGCAGAGGAAAGACACAGCCTGTGCTTACATTTGGTGACGCATCAGCAGAATGACTGAGAAGTGCTTTGCAGGATCATAAATGCGTTGGGAATTGCTATTGATATTGAGCATCCTGCACTACTCTACTCTTAGTTATTAAAGATCCCCTCCAGACAATATATATATACAATATGTACTTGGAACATAATGGTGTGTCTGATATGTTTTGGTTCTGCAAACATGCCACATTAAAATCTTTAAAAAGTCCCTACTCTTCTACTCTATGAACAGTGCAAATGTGTCATGTTCTAAAGTTTTGCGCTGGACACAAGATCACTGTAGTCCATTCTCAGTGGATGTGCACTGGTGGCTTCAAGTTTCTACATCACACTGTACAAGTTGCATACTGGACCAGGACTGACTTCCAAACTATAGACATATAGACTACAGATAAATGTGAAAACATCCTTCTAGTGTCAAACATCACACTGTAAGATTAAGAAGAGGTTTTTTGAATCTCACTTACATGATCCATAACCTGTGATAAAAATAAACCTCTCATTAAAAAAAAGGTGAAAGAGATCAGCCACATTGTGCCCAGTGTTGTAAATGGCAGCATATTTCTTGCTGTAATCATTAAGATTGTAGGCTGTTATCTTTAAATGACTCCATATAACAGTTTCTATTTATTATCTCAGAGCCATTATATGAGCTGGTGCTGCATTTAGAACGCATGTTGACTCCTCAAGTTCAAGTTATTTCTACACAGCCAGGCTGCTCGAATTTGTTCCAGCGCAGGTGAAAAAGTCACTGTGATTTGCCGGTGAGTTGGAGTACACTCATTAAAAGCGGCTTACAACAAACAGGTCTCGCCAGTGGATGGTGGCAGCAGCAGCGGTGGTTGGTTTTTCGAAAAAAAAGGGCAGGCGGGATCATGACAGAGGAGATCAACGCCTCAACAAAGCTCTCTAAGCTCACATCAGTCATCACAGATCAGAGATCTGAGAGTGTTGATTTGTTAGGATTTCCTGCTTTGAATGAGAAGTGATCTATGGACGTCATGGGAGCAGCAGCGTTAGCGTAAAATACACAATGACTTAAAACTAACAGGTAGAGAATGAAGAGGAATGCCTAATGGTGTAGTAGCGGATTAGTGTAGGATTCAGCCCAATCTGCTGTTAAAGAGATGCTGCATGTAAAAGAGCAATTTTAGTTTATTACAACTTGGGTCTTTGTATTTTTGACCATTATTTCTATTATGATAACACTGTACCCATTACGACATTGGTGAGATCTGCAAACAGAGCTACATTTCTACTAAAGTTCAAAGGGAAAATAAAGATGAGCGGTCAGATGATCAGACAGTAAACAGTTCAGCATGATCATCTAAACCACTTAATCCAACATAAATGACACAATAACATCTAACATAGCGATGTGGGGTAAGAATTTAAGCTCTTATCGTCTTTTTCTTTTAGTTTGGAGGTTGGTTTATAACCGAAGTTCGTCTGACCGCTTATGTTTCTTGTCGAATGTCTATTTAGTGATGTTGCCACATTCCCACAGTAGTTTAAATACATTATTTAGTACTTGGCTGAAGCGAGTATTCAGTACAGATAATTAATTTCTCCTTCTTTAGAAAGGAAGAACAGAAAGAGTGGACTTGATATAGCAGTAGACATTACATTAGCTTTTCTCAAGGGTTCCCAAACCTTTTCATTTCAAGGACCCCCACAAGAGATGCACATTACACCAAGGACCCCCAATTTGAGAGGATTTTGTCTAAAGGAATCTCTTCTTAATTTTTTTAAATGTTTTTTTAAGTTTTCAAGATTACAGTCAATCAGTGATTAAACTAGGATCACTATAAGTTAAAATCAATAAAAACAGATAACCTATTTCTTGCCTTGTTGTCCCAACTTCCATAAAATGTGACAAAAATTTAAATATTCCATTCCTCCTTTTGTGGTGAACCCTTAAAACCTACTCAAGGAGCCCTGTTGTTACCTGGACCCCGGTCTTAAAACCACTCTAAATTAAAAGCTGCTTCATGCTCTTTCTGGCTGCTGACATCCACTCCAGACTTTCCAATTACTGCCTTAACATCTGACCCATTGTCTCTTGCTATCAGACCTTGCAGGTACCATCTCATTGCACAACCACCTCACCCTCTTCGCTGTGTCTCTTCGCTCACAATCACTTTTTCTCTTATGTCAACACTGCTCTTGACTGGTCTGGAGAGAGCTCTCGATCCCTCAGCCAACAGCCCTGAGCCTGATCACACATTTAATGTAAAGTGTAGGCAAGGAGCAGATTACCTGCTCTTTAAGCAGCCTGCAGCTCGGGGCCCAAGAGTCCGGCAACCGTAAAGCAGCCGGCTGAGGCTAGCATGAACTCTTCTCAGTTCCACTTGTCATCACGATGAAGGGCTCTATACGGCAGCTTCTTGAGCCCCTAGACGAGGTACATTATTTAAAGTGAGCGATGACTCACTCCTGATGGACCCGGGGAGCCGTGCAAAGTGGCAGATTGGGCCAGCAGAGGAGATGGCGGACTTAATAAATGCCCACATTAGCACGCTCCATTAGCTTCACCTTTATTTGCTTGTAGTCTCCCACCTGTTTGTCCCACTGTGCTTTTGTCCATTTTTAAGTTGACGCAGACACCTTATGTGGTGCATGGATACATAAATCAAACAGGCATCTAGAGGTGAAGCTTTGTGCGTCGCGATATCCAGCAGAGACAGTTTCAGTTCTCTCGGCTTTGATCATTCATAACGGCCTTAACTGAACTGCAAAGCAAAAGCATTCATCAAAACAACTTCAGTAATCAAGGACCAGCAAAGTTACTTGATTGAAAGAACAGCTCTGTAAAACATTTACAGTAACTTAACCTAATCACCGAGCTGTTTAAAAAAACATCGCAAGGCACTGTGCCTTGATTTATAATACCATCATAATGACTATTCCACTAACTTTGATGCCACTTCATCTCTAGTCCCGGACCTTGGTGTACTACATTTGACATGGAAAATGAGTGTAAGCAACAAGGCTAATCACTTGAAACAACTCACCATGCCATTTGGTCACTTATCATCAAGAGTGCTATTCAGATAACTAAAAATAACGTTCAAAATCACTGAACAAGTTGAATAAATGCTTGAAGCACTTGTCCAGTTGGCACACAAACAGTGGTTTGTGTGCCAACCCTAACCCTATACTTTGCCAAGTTGTACCATTGTGTATGTTTCTTGCTTTTGTACTGCAGACAGTGATTCTTGACTCATATCAAAAAAAAAAAAGTTACCAGTTACTGTTAGGGCTGTTAGGGTTGTGATTATATATTTAATACCACCACCACTATTAATAATGATCACAATAATGTGTGGTTTTTAGCCATGGACAGTATGTAGAAGTTTAATGTCTTGTGCTTTAACTGCTGTTTCGAAGGCTTTTCCATCCTGACTAGAATACAATATTCAATGGATACATATTGTGGTATATGCACTGTATACTCAACTTGTCGTTGTAACCTTTCAGGCTCACTGCTGTGAAGAACCTGAATGCCTCACAATCAATTGTTCACTTCTTGTTTTGATAAAGTCAATAAAGGACAAAGATGTATGTGTTTGTGTGTGTCTGTGTGTGGATTCCAGGTGAGTCATGGATCTATTTCAACAGGAAATGGAAAAGATGATGACCACACTGAAAATCAATGTCCAGTTTAATCTCTATTCCTTTTTATAGGTGTTATTACCCACAACATAAAGGAATAAAACCTTTAAATGTGACATTAACACAGGTTTTATTTTGAAGATTTGGTATATTTTGTGGTAGGGCCTTAGGGATTGCAATGTCAATCAATACTGGGCAGTCGGCCCAACCATTTACACTGTATTTAAACGCGAGACATCTCAACGACTATCCAGATTTTCAGGGAATTTTATCTGTGGTCCTCAGAGGATGATTCCTAATGATCTTGGTGCCTTTCCTCTAGCACCACTGTTAGGCCACACAAAATTTAAAATTTAATAAGCACATTTGCTCTTCCTTAAGGATGCTTTTTTTCAATTCTGGATGCCCTATGAACTGTTCCCTAGCATCACCATCAATCCTAAATGTAAACCTTTGGCATTACAAATTAAAAGCTTATGTTTAATATTACCCTGATGTAATAATTGTTAGTAGTACATGGATATATCGTCAGAGATATACTGTTGTGTTTCGAAGTACAAGGACATTTAACAATTCTCTGCTGTTTAAATAAAACATTGTTGATTGTATCTATGACATTTATATCACCATTTATAATTATCACAAAATACAGGTGTATGTATCAGTGTTAACACATAATTAAAATGTGGTAACACAAATGACAGCAGAGAAATTACCCACCCAATAATAATCTGCTCTAAGCCTGTTTTTATTTACAGACATTTTTCGATTTGCTCCTACTTTGTCATGTCTTCCATTGCTGTCAAGCTACTGTTAATTAAACAATATAATAATATATATAATAGTGTGCATGAATCATCATCATCAACAGAAAAGTAAATGGGAGCAGTGCGGTAGACAGGAAAATATAATAACATATACATATTAAAACAGGGTACATTACAAATAAAGGCATTTTTCTAACAGAAGCCTTTTTCACATTAAAGATTCTTTATGCATGAGTTAAATAAGGTCAGAATTTACAGTATGTGTAAACTTGTGAGTGTTCAGCTCTCTTTCACAGAGTTTGAATAATTCAGTAATAATATGATAACAGTAAATGCTAAGGGTGTAAAGAAATATCGATGCACTACAGTATTGCAGTTTTGGTTTTGTGATACTGTATTGATTCTCAAAAACACTCTTTCGGTTTTTGTGTTTAAACCCTCAACCTCTATATAGCAGTGTTGTAAACTGAGGGCTGTGATGTTGGATGGTACAGGGACTGTGATAAATAGAAATGCAGATCCCACTGCTCTGATTGTATAACAATCTGCTAAACTTTTTTTAATTCTTTAATCTATGACAGTTTTTCTACAATTAGATTAATGAAAGAAAATATAATATATCGCAATATATTAATACCTCTGTATCATGATATGTATTGTGTTGCCAGATTTTTCCCAATACCCAGCACTAGTAAATACAAATCTATAGTAACATTATGAACATGACTGCTTTTGAGCAAGTTTGACTAGCTGGATATTACATTTCAGTTATTTACATAGAAACATGTACACAATAAGTGCCAGTGCAAACACGGGGATCCTAAAACAATGTTACATCACATGAGCCAGACAGCATAACAGACAAGTAGGGGGAATGTCGGAGACATACTGTAAATGGATAGATGACCTGTCCAACCTCTAGAGCGGTCAAACATCTTGGATTAAGATGGACCTCAGTTTGAAGTTTGACAGCTCTTATTTCTAAAATGTGATGTCACCTTGGTGGGGACATGGAGTTGTGCGCTCTGGACCGAAACCATGAACACTGTGTGACTGTCCAGAGATCTGTGCTGTGAGATCTGTGGACCATGAGAGCTGATGGCTTAGAGCAGGAGCTGCCACTTCCAGGAAAACAGATCAGCTGGGTCAGCCACTGTGGGCAGCCTGGACTCTGACTGGAGGGCCAGGCATGCGAACAGGAAGCCATGTCACACCTACGCACTGGTGCACTTCTCCTGACAACCGTGTATATTAGATTATCATTTCAGCCCTCACACTCCATAGAGCTTCAATGCACTTTGAGTTCTGAGAATTTTTCTGATTTATTAAATAAAACTTGGACCGGGAGCGTCTAGACGACAATAAATAACAGTGCTATGTCCCAAATGTTCAACCGGGCCCCTTTCATAAAGCACACATATGGAAACTAGTTTCATCATTAAAAGCTCTTTTCCTACCAGGACAAAGGCTGTTTCTGCCTCAGTAGGTTGAGGGATTTATCTTACAATACAAAGCACTCATAAAACCTCAGAGGGAAATATGTCTGACCTAAGCAAAACCACACCTTCAAAAAGATTTAGATGAGCCTTTGAAAAGCTCAAACCACACTCTTCTTTTTAAAATGAAGCTTTAATGGGACTCTATCGGGGTGTGGAAAAGTAGGTTGGACAGGGATTGGGTCCGGACGCTGCAGAGGAAAAGAAAGGATACAATTCTCTGCATGTCCCCCCGGCCTGCCAGGATGTAGACAGTGATTGACAGCTGGCGAGATGACAAGCACAACAGACCACAGGGAGAAATATGGGTGTCTACAGTAAACATCTCTCTGCTCACACAGAGCGGCGGAAAAAATAAGCAATTGAAAAGCACCTCCGTTGTCCAAACCAAATACTGTCAGGTTGGAGCCTGAAATATTTTGAAGTGTTTCAAAGGTGGATAAACCAGTGGGAAAACCAAACGCTTTATGCTGGCAGGTACAAATCTATAACAGAAGATAAAAGCAGCTCTAGACCTTCTTGTAAAGATTGATAAAGGCATCATGGATTACAGATACATTTCAACAATACTGCCTAAAGAGGATTTGCTGCAGAAACTAGAGATCAATGGGTCTCTGTGTACTGTAGAGCATATGTGACCACAAAGTATTGCTGCTCTGCATTCTTTGAGGTCAGTCAAAAACAACGTCAAAACGTATCATAACTCTTTTAAAGGGAAAATGGAGTTTAACAAAGACTCTCTGTCCTTACAGGCGCTGTTTGCGCCTTATTATTTCAGTCAAGACGATCCACAGCCCTGTCATTTTTACCGTTAATGTGTGCATTTTGTGGGGTCTTTTTTCTTTTGTGACTTTGTTAGAGCAGAGAGGGTGTGAGAATAAACTGACACTTCAGAGGAAACTCAAAACCCTTGTGGCTCTCCGCGGGGAAGAGCGTGCAAAACCCCCCTGGAGAGAAGCTCAGTCCATCCAAGGGTCATTACCTAGCTGTGATCAGAATACATAATGCTTGCACTGCTGAGATGAAAGGCCTCAGGAGACGTCTGCGCCTTCTATTCCGCCGTGCATGTCTGTCAGTGCAGCACGCTCCATTCATCACTGCATTCATCATCGTTTAAACAAGCTTCCCAGGTCGTGACTCTCTCCCAGAGCGCCACATTGTTGACACCGAGTGGAGTACATAACTACATATTGACTCTCGGCAGAGTGGCGGGGACGAAAAAGAGATTGGAGGATTGGGGGTTTGACTTTACTTCCAATGAGTCCGTTGGCTAAATGAAGGACTCTATTGCAAAGCCCCTGGGGTCGCGCAACATGAACTTGAGTTTCTCCACAGCAGCTGGGACATCAAAGCCCAGACTACCACCTGTGAGGGGCTTCTGGAAAATGAACACCCATATCGTGACATCTAGAGGACTCCTATAGAGAGTGGGAAGATAGGCTGCTGTGCTTGCTGGGCCCATCTGTCACACAGCCTGCCGCTAAACACACAGAAATGTGTGGATGGCCATAGGGAGGGTCACACATCTACCCTCTGTATGAACCACTGCCCACAAATACATTATTTTTGTTTGTTTTAGGGCCAAGAATGATGATGAATGCATTGAAAATGCCTATAATTAATGTGTATTGCAAATGTGTATTGATCCAGGGCTGAAAGTAGTCCCCAACAAATGCACTATTTCCTTCTGTTTGAGTAACATTTGCTAGAAACTACAATGCCCACACACAGTAGTGGGAGACAGCCAATGTTAGTTTATTTATTGTTGGGAATGTAGTATAACACCAGCCTTATCCTTTAGTATTTGAATAAAACCTCAAACATAATTAGAAATGCTGTGTGGGATGTCTTCAATGTTCTCATCATTTATGGCAAACATATTAACAATTGAATGACACAGCACAACTGGGTTTATAAAGAGCATATAGAGAGTCACATATAAGGCCTCTCTATTGGCTATTGGTTAGTCTATTCTGGACTGACCTTCCCAGAGCTGTGGACACACTTGAAGAATACAGCTATGTAACAGTGTACCGGCAACAACACAGATTAACACTGAATTGATTGTAGTGCTTAAACCCCCAACCACTACAGTAGTTGTAAATGTAAACTGAAGTATTTTACTTCAGTATCGCAATATATTGAATTGTAACCCCTGTATCATGATACATATTGTATCGCCAGAATACACAGCCCTATTGCCTCAGCATACTGTCTACACAGAATATGTGTGAATATGTATAATATATGTGTATGTACTCTTTGTAGCTAATTAAGAAATCCGTCCAGCTTAGTCCAAACACAAACTAAACTTATTCATATCATATAATTGCTATGAATACTAATAAATAAATATTACAATATTATTATAAAAAATAAAATGTTTTGATTACATATACTAATTAATTAACTATAAATGGATCAGCACTAAAGCACTGCGGCTAATGGTTTGAAAGGAAATCAATGACATAGACATAACTCATTTACTTTCATACTATACCAGTATGTTCAGATTGGCCTGCCTTCCTATTATAGTCTTTAAATCTAGTGACAATAAATCCTCTCATTTATCTTTTAAAGCTTGAAAATCTTTTAATGTCATACTTGGAGGAAAGAATGAGTGAAGTAGGCATGATAATAAATAACAAAAGCTCATTAAGCTGAACTCAGCTCAGACAATAAACAGTAAGAAAACATATTTCTTTGATATCAGCGTGCTTGAATCTAATACTGCTGTAATTAAGCCACCAATTATAGAGCGCATTAAACTTGCAACTCTATAATCTGCTTCAGTAAGACAACAGAGTCTCGAGAAGTGAAGGTCCTATCAAACGGCTACTGACTTAACGCTGCGGCTGTGATGGAAGTAACAGAGGGTGGTAAATAATTAGAGAGAACCAGGACGGTGAGGACAGGGGATGGAGAGTCAGGGGAGATGGATGATAAGATAGAGGGACACTGACAGACAATAGATGCTTGAAATGATATTTGGGTAAACTCTGGCCTCACCTTGCCTCTCCCTGATTGATCACCATGTACATCTCCCAGGACATATTTTCAGCCACGGCTCCATGAGGCACCAGCAGGCTGACCCCTGGAAAACACACACAAATGCGTCAACATCAACATCTCCAGTCGCCTGACAGTGTAGGGCAAAATAAGGGCTTACAGCATGTCGTACATGCAGGGGTTACGGGAATATGTATGAGCTTTGTTTTACTTGGTTGAACTGTGGCATTTGAAAAAAATAAGGTGAACCAAACTTAGGTGTCAAAACAAAATGTTCAAATATGACTTTTAGCAGAAATAGAAAAACTATAAAAAACACATATCATGGCCCATGCAAACACTGATCATTTTGAACACACAGCATGACAACACAGCCATGACTCTTTTCTTTCATATTAAACAAGCATTATTAGACATGTCAAGTAATTATTTTGCCTTGCCTGAACCTGTGCGTTCTAATACCTTGACAAATTAAGGTTGATTGGTCACCAGGTAGCAAGTGTTGTCTGTAAATAACCAACCTGTTGATAGCCAACTGTCTAGAGGGGATCTTTAAATGACAGAAGCCATGTTTCTCTTTTGAAATTTGCTGTTTCCATTCAGTTTATGGTTAAGGTTTCTTAAGTGTAGGTACGCAAACTGCTTTTTTTATAGTCGTGGTTAAAATAAAACAACATTGACTGTTGGTACACAACAGGCTGTGAACAGCAGCCTCCCACGTCACAGTCACAAGCTTTGAACATCAACCTCAACGTCCTCCCTACCTCTTATCAGACAACAGCTAAATTTGTTAAATATGTTTCACAATGTAATCCACTGGTATCTTTTCCCATTCAGTCTCAGTTTCCCAAGATACAAAATGATGTCTTGCGTGTATTTACAATTCATTTCTGTTCTACCCCTCACAGTTTCAGAGCCCACTTGTGAAATACATCTAAATGATTTGTGGTCTAATTAGGAAATTGCACAGGCTCACTTGGTGCCCTACATACTGCAGGTTTAAAGAGAAGTGGACACACACAAGAGTGTCTATGGTCTGCTGAATTGTGATCGGCCCACTGCAGTAGTGATGTTTTCTCACTGACTGGCGTTATAGATTTGGGCCTGACTCAAAGCCGATTCATTCTCTTTTGATTTGTCTCCAGTTGCATCACTATCAGGCTTTGCACTCAAGGGAACATTTCATCAAATATGTCTAAAACTGACCAGCCATAAGGACTACCAAAACTTTTTAAAACACAATTTATTAAGGGAGACTGGATCTCCACTGAATATGGAGATGACTGGATCAACAGTCTGGATGAACCGTCCAAAAAAGCTTGTTTTTCCAACATCATTTGAGTGGCCGCTACAGTTTTCACTGGTACTTTAAGAACTACCAAACAAGACAGGATCTGCAGACTGATCAGCCTGGAATAAATGTGTACTGTTCACAACATAGATGGATGAATCGATATTTGATTTGAATTAAGTTGTAAACACAGTTTGTCTGACACTATCTGGAAGAAGAAAACTGTCTGTTCTATTTATTCTGATCTCCTGAACCAGCAACGCTCGCTACACTTTTGATTATGCAACATCTTTTGAGAGGCAAGTGGAGATTTCTGCGGAGCAACACTGCCCCACCACTGTTGCCTGACACTATTCATCTGCTTCTGTGTGAATGGTGAAGCATTCACATTGAAGAGAGGAGAGAATATAAAAGCCCTGCTTTAACAAATAGAGGAGCAGAGTGGGAGATGACAGATAAAGCTGGTTTTGTCAGCTCTGTTGAAAGTGAATATTTTTTCATATTTGTGAGACGTCGGCCATCTTTGAAATGTGCATTTTAACTCGTTTGTTTTCATTAAATAAACATTCTGTGTCACATGTTAGCGGCGGCTGCTCTGCAGAGACAGATATGAAGATTCTCAGCCAACAGTACAACTGGATTTCTTGTGTAGCACGTCTTTAAAGTGTAGCACTATTTAAAGGGTCAGTTCAAGCAAATAAAAAACAAACAGCACGAAGCATGAAGAACGAGCAAAAGAAGCAAATATCGTCTGCACTCTGACAAAAAATATGCATTTAAAAGAATACACTGAAAAAAAACAACTGTACACACATTATAGGAACCCTGTGGAGTTCTCTTGTAAAAATAAGTTCTGTTTATGATCATTTTGTCTCACCAAACCGAATATTTTGAATGCTTGAGGCAACGCTTAGATTGTGTAAACCGTTTCTATGGCACACATAAAAAAATGTGTGTGTTGATGTGCGTTTTCTGGAAATTCTGTTGGGAGTTGTATTATGTTATAGGTCTATACCACTGGCTGTCAAACTATGGTAAGGTACATGAGCTGACTCTTGTGGTAAGCATAGGAATCTCTGAAATATTACATTTTATAATATTTTGTTTCAATATCAGCCTGCTATGAGTCACTTTCATGCACATAGCACATGTTTACATCCATGATTAGTTACAAGCTAAAATGTGATGATAAGATAGTAAGTGGAGGTAAAATGAATGGTTCAGAAACACTGCAACTTTGGGTCCAAATGGGAACTATTCGGAAGAGAAGTGCAGATCAGGAGAACCCCTCTTCCACCATGACATACAGAAAAGCACTGCACATACAGACAACACGAGCAGTAATGCTGAAACATAAACACAATAGAAGTTTCTGGGGTTTTACTAAAATCTGACAAACAATAGTTAGCAAATATTCATCCTAGGTTATATTGACAATCACAATGTTATAACTAACATAAACATTCAGCATCACTGGTGAATGGTTTACGCCATCAGTTGGTATTGAAATGGCTTGCAGTATTTATATTTGCCTTGGTTTTTCTGTTTGTAGTGTGTTTCTTCAGGCTGCACATGTTTTTCCAGATTGGTGAGTGTTTCTTAATTTGTTGTTGTGCTTTATGTAATTATAGCAAGTTTTTAGTGAAGATCTTTTCTTCTCATGCTTGCATTTTGTCCATTTGTATGTGCTTTCTTAAGTCTCTTGGCCCTTTATGGAGGGTCTATTTTTATCTTTGGAGGAAAGTAGTTACAATTAGTAATGTTCAAAGTGCAATCTGTGGATTTTGCGGGGAAATTGTTTTTGAAAGCATAAGTTGCTGCTGAACTTTTTAAATGTCACTTTTACATGGATGCTACTAAAGTTGAGTGAGGAAATATACTTTTTGCAGTTATTCCACTCTTTTAAAGACTGCATTTAAAAGTCAACTGAACTGTACAGATGCAAGGATGTTGCTATTTCGGTTCCATGTCACTACAGTAACGAGAAAGCTCCAGTCATCTGCAGTGAAGAGCTGTGTATGGCTGGCTATTCAGTCTAATGAATAGTGGTCCCTGCAGACAGGCCGTGTGAGTGCTGCACTTGACGGCAGCGGCCCTTCACTCAGACCCTCAGCCTGAAAGACGACCACAGGAGGCTGATTTCACTCCACCTCTCCACGCCAGCCGAGGGCCACCGCCACGTACACGAGGAGCGCAGGAGGGGGGCTGTAAGTGCAAGGGTACACGTGGACTGTTGACCTGGTGACAACTGTAACGGTCCATGCAAACTCCTCCAGTCGCTCTGTTTGTGTTGGCGGAACACGGTGACAGTTTGACCCCAGTTTGCCCGAGAGAGGCAGGATGTGGAGGAATAACAAACAGCTACCTGTCTTGGCAACGGCACTGATGGATCTTAGCAACAGCTTACAATATGTGGTGTCTAAGGAGTGTGTAGGTGTATTATTAGTTGTGATATAGTAAGAACGTGACTTACTTTAACAAGCTGAGTTGCTGTGCAGCAAAAATGCATGTTGCTAAAATCTTTTATCAACTTCTAACACAAAAAGTTGTGTAATAGATTAAAAAAATATATTTATAGAAGTTTACAGGGCACAGGAAAAATTAGCTAAATGTGGGGGGGTGGGCAGAAACAAAAAATGATTGCGCAAGCAACATCTAAATCAGCTAATTATTATCAAGCCTAATCAGCTACCAGGATTATTGTTACTATGCAAGCTGCAAGCTTGGCACATCGCCCCTGAGGAAACAACATCCAGCTGCAGCAGGAGCACAGGTGCTGAACCAACAGACAGACACTTTCCCAACAACACAACTTGCTATAATCCGTGTGGATGCAGCAGCAGCAGCAGCAGCAGCTTAGTGAGCAGCAACGTAGATGGTAGCCTGCTGTTAATTATGCTTCGTAATAGTTTGTGTAATGTGCGTTTAATCACAGGTTGGGTATCTTAATGAGTCGGGGTGGATTCTGATTTGACTAATTGTAGGTAACGGGTTGGTTCCAGTACTGAGCTTTGAAGGTGCAGGTTTGCAAAACTGGACCCGAGGAGGTAGGATGCTTTTTTTTTTAAATTATTTTCTTTTGTAATCGATTTTTTTTACTTGATATTTTTCATACAGTATGTATGCATTCATATGTATTTCTTTAACTTTGACATGTATTTATGGCTTGTATATGTGTGTTGCACATACATGCATGATTTATGTTACGGATAAGATATGGACACAATAAGGGGAGCATACATTATTGATGATTCTGCATTATAGCAGACCAAAAGGAGGTCATTTGACACATTAAACAAACAACATTTAATCACGGAGCATTAGAGATGCTGCTAGGTGGATTTTGTAACTTTTTTAACTGTTTCCAGTCTTAAGCTAAGCTAAGCTAACCGGCAGCTGGTTGCAATTTACATTAAGTGTACAGACAGTAGAGAGCAAATAAGTATATTTCCTCAAAAATCTATTGCTTTAAAGGTCCAGTGTGTAGGATTAAGTGGCATCTAGTGCAACAAAATCCACAAATCATGTGAAAACGCCCCAATCTAGAGCCATGTTTCTACAGCAGCCCAGAAGGGACAAACCAAACCAAACCACTGGTTGTAAACATTTTTTTGTGTTTCATGGCCACCATAGTTTTCCATCGTGTTTGGAAAGGGTGGGTGAAGCAAATGAATTGTGATCGCGAGATGATACTAAAAACCTACACACCTTCAAGGTCCTTTTGGGAAACCGAGCCCTGCACTGCTGTCTGAGCTTTAATATTTTCCAGGAATGCACAAAACCACTTTATCATTTTAGGAGACTCAATAGCTTTAAAGTAAGTCACTTTGATTGAGTCGCCACTTTATGAGTCACCTGAACTACAGGCTCAGGAACAGGCAGAGTAGTTAGGTAGAAGGTATAGCCAGCAAATTAACTGGAACCCTAACCCCAGACCAGGTTGAATGACTTGTACTGTTAGGAGATAAAGCCATGAGCATCCTGAACCCTGGGAGACACCAGAGGAAATATGATATAGTATTTAAAGGACCAGTATGTAGGATTTAGTGGTGTCTAGTGGTGAAGTTGCAGATTGCATCTAACTGTACACTGCTCGCATGTGTATTTGATGACCTGGGAATGAGAGCTGTAAGTGTGTATTAGGAACTATGCTGGCCGCAAAACTCATTAAAAATGCAAAATGCCCTATCTACAGCCAGTGTTTGGGTTTTCCATTCTGGGCCACTGTAGAATTATGCTGGTTAATATTATTTTGTTTATGTTATTTATTGTATGACTTGTTTTATTCAATGATTATGTCCTCTCAACATGTCTCTTTAAGTTAAACATTCATGTGTTGTATGTTTTGGTGAGCACTATTAATATGCTGATCTATTCTCGCCCCTGCTCTGGATCTGTGTACCCCCTCCTAGAGCTGAGAAAAGTTCACTTTTTTATGTGCCAACAAAACCCAACAAAGAAAGCCTGCACTTGCTTGATGCACACACAGCAGACCGTTTATGACAACAACAAGCAGCACCGAAGTGGAGAAAAATTGGTGGAAAATGTTTGTTGTGTCTAAACATCGCTGGCTTATGGTGGTTGCTATAATGAGAAGTTACTGCAGCCTCTCATTATGGCGACCAAGTGTACGGTGTGTGAGCTGAACAAAAAAAGAAGAGATTGAGACAGTGATTTTTCTGCTAACAAACTCAGTCTGTGCTTTTATCGACTGCCTGTGAAACTCACCGGTGTTTGGCACCACCAGACGGCCTCCAGGGTGGCCGAATACGCCAGTGGTCCTCAGCTGCTCTTTGCCGGCGCTGAAGGGCCCGTTGAGAGTGAGCAGGCCCTTCTTGCGTCTGTCTGCGGTGTTGCAGTAGTCCCGGCTCAGGTCCCGAGGGAAGGTCTCGGCGGGGGCTTTGGCGTGGAATTCCGCGCGCTCGGCCACACCTAGCGAAACCATAAAGGAGCTCTGAACTTTGACCTTGATGTCGGGCAGGGGGTCGAATAGCTCTTTGTCGGCGCTGTCCTGGAAGCAGAGGGGAGTGCTGTACGTCCGTCCTACTGTTAAGTCGGGCTGCATTGAGGAGTTGAGGAGCAGCGGGTTGCCTGCAGAGATGGAGAGATAGCACACAGTCACCTAAAAGCCTTGTGTACATTGGGGAACTCGTTTAATTAATGAATCAAAGCCCAACCACTGCGTTTCCTGAACAGCACTTCCATGGAATAATGAAATTCACTGGTGTCCCAGATACAGCTAAATAAGGTCAACATTTTAAGAATTTCTTCATTTTTCATGACAGGAGAGACATGAAAGAAAATGTGCCACTCAAACATACACATTGATTAAATATTACTAGGGGATTTCTGTTTGCACCACAATACAGTGAAATATTCTACTGCATTATTTTACAAAAAACAAACTGATCTGAGCTTAAATTCACCTTTAATCTCCAGAATGAATACAAATTCCTGGGTATCCTCAGGTAGCATTACTCTAGTTTAAACCCGGTTTAAGAGCCACATCTCTGGACTCCTTCTACTGAAATGTCCTGCAGCTGACCAGCGAAGCTCCAGCACCAATTAAAACAACATGTCCGGGCAGGCGACCAGTGCATCAGAGGTAAGGGAGCACAACCTGGGCAGAAGGTCCAGGGCTCGGAGCCACGGTCAGAGCGTTAGATTTAATTACCAAGCACACACACAGCTTGATCTCCATAATCCATCTGCTGGAGTCAGCTCCTCTGGACACTGAGTCGTCCTCCTGAAGGACAGGAGGGAGGGCCAGGAGGGGTGTAGGTGACTGCTCTGTAAATGAGGGGAGTCCTTCAGCTCCCAGTATAGACCCAACAGACTGCAGAGGGGGGTCTTCATCTGTGGCCATTAGATGTGACGACGCTGCCAAACGGAGCGAGGAGCGCGCCGCATCGATCTGGCAGACTGAGGCGTGCGGTGCCCCTGGATGAGCTGTGCCAAGATAACGGCGAAGTCACTGAGTCCTTGCTGCCCAGCTGTTGCCTGTTGCAAGGCAGGAGGCTAATGTTGTTTTATTTTTAGGGAAATCATTAATTACCGGGGGCATGATTTGTGATGAGCATTATGGGGTGTATTGGTTTTGACTTGTTCTTCAAAACCCAACTTTTCCTGTCGTTTTTGCCTCCTCAACAGAGTTTTTTGCATATTAAGACATGGATTATGACCAGAAATCTATTCACAACTGTACTGCCTCTCCAATTCAAATAAAAACATTTAATAAAATTACAGTGACTAGGACTGAAACTAATCAATCTTTAATAAGTGATTCATCTGCAGATTATTTCCTTGATGAATCAGTTGATCTTTATGTCTATTACACTTTTCCCTAGAGAGTTTCAGTCTTAAAGCAAAGAGCGAAAATGACAAATTCCTACTTTTGAACACAAAATGCCATCTTTATTTTGATTTGTATCAATGCTTATTACATTACTATTGTACAGATCAATGAATCTACCACTGTGATAGAGTTCACTTGTATTGCAGTAGCAGGAAGTGTTGCAATGTACTGAGAGGCTGTTACAGTAGTGTATTTAATTTAATGTTTTATTTATAAGTAGCACCTGATATATTGGTCAGGCGATATTGGCCTATCGTGGACATATCGGTATCGTATTGGCATATATGTTATCCGATATGCGTTGACAAGGACAGACAGCTTGTGGTAATATATTAGTGTCACTGCTAAATCTCACTAGCAGAGTGCGCTGTAATTTAATACTGTGGCAAACAGCTCAGAGTGAGAGAAGAAGCCGCTCTCAGCAACGTCAAGTAGAACTTGTTGACAATATACATGTTTAATTATTTCTCTTATTAAAAAATATTTAACTGAAATATTCTCTAATAAAGTTATTTTTTTACAAAAGCATCCATCTGAGTACATTTGCATTGTCGTATCGGTGCACAATCACCAAAGAAGAGTTTTATTTTAATTCCAGCATTCACTACATCGGACAGCATATCAGTAATCTGTGAATGTTTCCCTCTAATATCAGTATTGATCTACAAAACAACAAACTTCATGGTCGACAAAGACCACGATCAGTAAACTGATGCAATGGCGTCACAATCATTATTTTGTCTTGTATAAACGTATGATTCACTGCTACGTTAGACAGATTCTAAACTTCAAAATGTCTGGTAATTGTTTCCTGCTTATCACCGAATCCATTCATCCACCAGTCATTTCAGCCAAACAGTAAGTGTGGTTTCATTTCAGCATACGGTATTAACATCGTTGCTTGGATTGAACCTGTGACATCTGTGATATTGCTCATGTACTCTCATCCGCTAGGTCACCATGCTCCACAAGCATTACAAATGATACAAAGCATGAGCAGATATGATACAGAATAACATTTTCAGATAATTGCCACTAAGTTAATGTTCCATGAAATATGAAAATATGCATTTTTCATTTCTAAACAGCCCAACAGTGACAGGGAGCCTATAGGCAACTCTGTATGTATTCCAGCTCTTGGTCAGAGCTGCAGCCCAGTGGACATTACCTCTCTGCAGCTGACATTCGATCACTGCGAAATTTTCTCCCCTCTGGTTGAGTGGAGAATGATCTGATTATCGCTTGAGTGTGCATCTTTAAGAATGGCGCGGCGAAAATGGAATGGCAGTGGTGAGATGAGAGAAGTTAATGAAATGTACCTCAGGTTGAATACCTTGAGGGATAGGTTTGGAATTGGGCCTCTGATTAAAAATCACTCAGAAGGAGAAGTAATGTGGAGAGACAGGGTCAGGTCCAAAGACTCATTCAGCGCTCTGCCTTACAGCCGCTCCGGTAGCAGAGAGCCATCCGAAAGCATTTAGGAGCTTCTTTAAGAATTTAAGGTGTTTTTTTCCCCATGTGATTATTAGGCATGAAAAAGCTACTGATTTGCAATTAAACACACACTTTAAGTGGTGTTTCCCCCCCTGGAGGAAGTGTAATTTCCTATGTTTATGAAAAGGAGGGTAAAATGTTACCAATGCAATCGCGGCAGAAGTAGGCTTATATAAAATGCCTCGACAACTTCCTCCAAAACAAACTGGGGTGAGGAAGTGTTCTACATTTCACGGGGAGCCACGGCCAAAAGAGGAAGGATGAGGCTGAAAGAGAGGAAAATGGAAGGAGTGATTGTGGCCAGTGGAGGGCACAGCAGGCAGGCTGCGGGGAGAGCTGGCCTATTTAAATAGGATTGATGACCTGTTGGATGTAGCCCCCCATTTTCCTCACACCCTGTCTGTCGTGTGACGAGGGGTGGGGCTCGACCGACTCCCCAGGCCTTGGGGGACCAGTGGAGGGGGGGAGGGCACAGCGTGGGCTCCGGCAGATCTTCTCACGGCGCTGTCACCTCGGCGGCGAGGATGGATCGCCCCTCGCCACGATGGCTATCACTTGCGCTAACCCAGAAGTGTCAGTGACAGTAATATGAATGCCTGTGGCGAGGCTGGCCAGGACAGCCGCAGTCACATAACCAACAGAAGTTATTGCTGTGCACAACAAAAATTGAATTGATGTTCACTGTTCCGTACCCCTCACATTTATCCATCAGTGGTTTAGGCCAGTGTAATCTGATGGAGGAGATTGGTTGCCTGACAGTCAAATGTGTGGTCCGTGGGGAAGGGGTGGGGCGATGCCGGTCTCTATCAGAGATTGATTATCTCCTGCTTCACAATAACAGAGGAGCAGGTCTGTCAAAATAGAAGGACAGGTCCTTTCACTGATTATGGAGGTATAAATCCTAAGCAGATAGGGATGCTGCAAGCCATGCTGCTTGATGCAAATAAATGCCATCAATCACCGGGTTGGCCCTGTCGCAGAGGTCTTTGATGACACCGCCTTTTGGCCTTGTGGTCGTTGGTGCGTGTCAACGTGGAGTTGATGGCGTTCTCTCTTACCTTGTCTAGTGGTCTTGAAATTGAAAGACTGGAAACCCCCAGCGAGCGCAGAGGAGTCGATGACGTCCACGCCATACTCGCTGTGGTTCTTCCTGTACAGCATGACAGCCACTACGAGGATTGCCACGGCGATGATGCCGGCTCCCAGGCCTGAGTACAGTGCTACGTCGTTGGAGCTGTCCATACCTGAAGCACACGAGACACACGAAAAACAGAGAGCTACCGTAAATTCTCATATGAAAGCCATAATATAATAGTACCAGGGTTGCAGTTTGCATGAACCAATAAAGGCCAGTTGCTAATAAAGGCCAGGTAAGCAAAAGCACTGAAGCCTAACAACAGCTGTAAAATGGTAATATTTTGTGTAACGTCAATTTCCACAGCACTAATTCAATACAATTATTAGTCATATTAATACCAGTCATTTTTTCTTTGCTGTACAACGGATCATTGTTAAAAGAGAACTTCTATACAACAAAGTCTGTTCACAGGTCTTGGGGAGTATTACTGCATATGTGAGAGGGTTGTAGAAAGTCTTTTGTGTCTGCACAGAGGACAGCGCAAAATCTAATGAACTTCCTTAAGAGATTACTTATGAAGATCTGATGAACTGCCCCACAATCGTTGCTTGGTGTAGAGTTGATCCGAGCTTACCAGAGCTCTGCAGCATGCTCCTTATCTCTGTTTGAGGCTAGTGGCTCGAGGCTACATTAGCCAGTACTACCATAACACACCCGAAACTCTGACTGAATTGTTGCCAGTCAAGTTGCATTGTGGGAAATGTAGGCACCAGGTTTTGACAACAAAGACAAACGTGTGGAATAAAAACTGCCGAATGCAAGTCCGACAACGTTATAGTGCAATGCTGAATCAGTGGAGAGCTCTTTTGAGGTATTGTCATCAAAATTCAACACTTCCTGATTATTTTTCACATTAAAAGCCTATCTATAAAGGGGAGGTTGCAAGACTTTTAACATGAAAATTATTGTGGTTGAGTGTTGATTTCCTTCATGGTATCTTGTAGTTGTTGCCGGTGGAATGGCTGCTGTGACTCTGGCTGTTCTGATGGAATTAATGCTGTAGCTATTCACATTATAGTGAATTTATCAAGATGGCAGGTAACCATGGAGAGAGTATTGAGTTTTAATTAATTGGGGAAATTAGAAATATCCGTCTGATTCTCTCTGCCACTGATGTAAATAGAGGTCCCAGTCAGAATTTACTGAGAATGTACAGTATGTAAATGTGTTCTTCTAGGATTTGTACAGCACAGGAGTCTATTCTTTTTTACTGTGATGAAAGCAGCATTGCCAAAAAAGTGAAAAGGATTTTTTGAAAATGTTGCACATAAAAGAGAGTAGTCTTTGTTATATTAATAAAGAATTGGAAACTTTCAGGAGGAGATGGGGGGGCAGTGGAGACAATACTGTTATTATGTAGACATTCAAGGTCAAACACAGGCAAGAGCTACAATGTGTTACACTGTCTCCAGCATGGAAATGAAACAAGAAGGATGGAAAGTGGTAAGATGGAGCAGACCATCTGTCTTATCTCTCTATGCTACATTATGCACCACAGATAGGAATAAATGAACATGTCCAGCCGTTACTCTAAACTGTTACATATCACACTCAAGCTGCTAACATGGAGGGTGATTAGCCTAACTGCCTTTAGACCCACCGGTCTATATCCAATGGCTATGATGGATATCTCGCAGTGCAGGCAGTCAGAGCCCATGCGGCTCTTACTGGTGGTCGCCAGTCGTCCCGAGGACCAATCAGACGCAGATTAATTTAGAGTATTCCTACCAGGGTGATCACTTGCTAGATACCAGCTTGACGCACTCCCCGTTCAATCATTCAGGCTTTCCTTAAAGCCTAACGAAGAAGAAAGAGGCAGTAGGCACGGCTTTTACACTAATGTGGCAGGCTAATGAAAGCACTCAAGCTAGCACCTGACAATCACTTAGTCGGGCAAACTCCGACAAGTGATTGAAAGCCGCCACAGGAATGTGAGGACAGCGCCGTAAATTGGTTGAATTAGCTCATTTGCAATGATTACAACCCATTAATCCTCCACAACATAGCACATGTTCACTTGTCACAACCAATATATCTCCTGGCTTAAAGTAGAAACACAGCTGTGATGTCGCGGTTGTCATAAAAGTCGGCCACTGAATAATGACATGAATGCATAATGAACGCTTGCTTGGGTTAAACCAGGAGTTGCCCAGATCAAAGTGAACTAAAGGGTGGTAATTCATGATGTTTCAGTTTCCAGAGTATTTACTGAGAGAAGGCAAACAACTTTTTTAGCTAACTTTAAACTTAGAATATATCAAATCTTGCCCCCAGAATTCAGGGCACTGCATATTAGTGGCAGGTGGGAGGGGGAGTTGAAGATGAAAGAAATTCACAGAGGAAGACTCACTTTGAGGTTTAACGTCATGTAGCAGCTTTCGATCTGCAAAGACAGAGAGATAGAATGAGACAAAGAGGAGAGAAAGTGGTGATTAAAGTCCGAGACTCTGTGAAGTGACTAGCAAGTTTGGTTTCAGATCCAACACCCTGAGTAGAGAGAGCTTCTGCTGACTGTTACAGTATATGATAATGGCCAGGCAGGCATCATTACTGTCCTCATAGCACCATAGATAAAGGTGGTGAGGTGCAAACTGCTCAAAGGCTCGGAAATACCTCTGAGTCGGCTAATAATCTCAACACGAGTCCAAAAAACAAGTTTGATTTATTTAAGAGGAATGAAGTCACACACTCTTCTACCTGACTTTCTCCAAACGTATATTGTGGAAACCAAAATGAGCATCATAGTCAGAAGAACATTCTAACAGGGCTGAACAATTTGTGTTTTTTTTCTGACCAGTATCGGGACTGTGATTTAAATTGGGATAATTTTCTATAAATTAAAATCATTATATTGGTGGTCTACATAGTAATAAACAACATAGGGATGTGTCGTGAACGACATGCTGGCTTCTTTAAGACAACGATGGGAGCCGTTTCCGGTCTGAGAGACGATTTCTTGCTTTCTTGTGTTTTTGTAAATAAATTTATTCATTTAAGACAGATTAATCGGACTATTAGTATTTGTTAAGTACGATCCAGACACTTGTCACTTTCACTCCCAAGTGTAACAATGCAGTTCATTTAGACATTAAAGTTGCTGTAAGCTTTATTTTTCTGGTTAAATTAAATAGCTCCACATTCTGACAGCCATCGCTGGTATAGAGTGTTTAGTTAGTAACATGGGTCTCCCAGTCCCTCCTTTCCGTAGTAACCAGAGAATGCATTTTCTGTTATCCTGTTCTAGCTTTATCCAATCAGGAGAGAGAACTCCACAAAGAGGCGGTCCTCTCTGCATGTTCAAGCGCAGGCAGCATAATACCAGTGTGACGACGTGGGGAAGAGGGAGGGGACTGCAAGAACGGACAGGAAGCTAGCCAAAATGCCGATTTCACTCACAGCACCTTTAATGTAAGCTACAAATAAAATCGTGCATCTTGTGATTTGAGAATTGTGTACCTTTAAATCACAGTCTTGATATAAAAATGCTTCGTTCAGCCCCATCCTGTAGTCATCATTGAAATTTTGAAGTCATTGCATGTGCATGACCCAAACAGTGCAATGACATTTCATTCCAAACGTCAAGCATCATTCAAGAGTAAATGTCTGCACTTCCTACCCTGTGACAGATTCAGAATGACATACAATATGTCAAGTGAGCAGCACACAGGAGGAAGAGCGCTGACATTATCATGCACTGGGCATCTGTGTCAATCCACAGTGTGATACTTTTCCAACACACACCTCCTGTTCAAACATGCTTGTGGTGATTTCCCATGTTACAGTGAGCGTATATATGATGATGATAATGATAGGAAAATGATGACAATGATGATGATGATGATGTCCAACAGGGCGAAAGGCCTTACTCTGGGTACACAGTCCATCTGTGCAGTTCTCAGTGGCCTCGCTGTTCCCCTCGCACATCTTGCCTCGGTGTCTGGGTGCTGGGGAGTTGCATTCCCGACTCCGCTGCCTCTCGCACTGGCTGCTGCATACGGTCCATTCGCTCCACTCGTCCCAGCCTCCATCAACTGCAACATGAGGATATATACAAATGCGGACAAAGACATTAACATATACATGTGTCTGCACACATACCAAAAAGGCAAACAGAAAGACGAGAAGAATCTGAGGCACGCAGGTGGCAGCTAAGTTAAAAGGCAAGCCAAAGAGAGTGTCACCACGGTAGACAAAAACAGTTCATTCTAAGGTGATGAAAACACAAAGATTCAAATTTTCAGGATTACACACTAATGGAAATACCCCATAGAATTATTATATTCCTTTATGTACAATAGATCCTCCCTAAATTTACACACTGGACCTTTAATGAGTTTACATTCAGTATTAACAACATATTAAATGATAACCAATATCAGTATCCTAGTGTGTACCACAATATGCATTTTTTTTGGGCGAGCTAATGAGCCATCAGTGAGGTTTTTATTCCCATGGCCACAGCATCCCATGTTTTGAACTAATCGTAGTTTTTGAACTGAGCTTGTAGCTTTGATTTAAGCATCAAGACTATGGCATGCTGCCAGCTACCCCTTTATCTTATACCCATTTTCACAGAGACAACCCACAAACAAATGCCACCTACATAACTAGTTAAGTTGTGTGCCCACACAGTTGAGTTATCTCGCAGCTGGTTAGCCTAGCTCAGCAGGCTACGACTGGAGGCAGGAGGAAACAGCTAGCAGCCAAATTCTTTCTTTACATTTCTCTTTCTATAATGATTTAAAAAACGAATATAACTTGTCAATTAGTCAACTTAAGAGTTGTTAGTAAAGCTAAACATATTCTGACTCATGTTCTTCCTCCTCACAGACATGAGGTCCATCTTGAACGCTACATCCAAACTGTCAAACGGTTTAAAGATATTTATGATTAATTTCAACAAAGAACATCTGTATTATCTTTTATGTAATTGCAGGCACGGTCTCAAATTCCATTTTGGTGCTATATTTACACATATTAAACATTTAAATGTTTTCTTAGTGGGCACACACACATATTCAGTATGACACACACTACACAGGGTAATGGTGGTACAGCTTGAGAGACATTTTCTCCCCATTAACCCCTGGGCCTGTTTATATAATGGGATTTGATGCAAGGCTATGAAACCAAGACAGCCTGGCGCATGCTAATAGCTGGGATTCCTCCGCCTTGCTCTGTCATCTGATCAAGGAAGAACTCATCATGCTTAGCTTAACAAATATTGGGAGACCATATGGCGCCTGCAGATTCTTTGGCAGCAGTTGTGGTGCCCATAATACAGTCTGTGGGCAGTGGAGAAGGTAATCTTCCTTTGTGGTGTTCCATAGTCCCTACCTACACTCCACATTTGTTTGCGGTTTCTCCTCAGCTAGAAATGCAAATGATGTGTTTGTACGATGCGGAGAGAATGCTGAGTGCTTATGAGTTTGACCGCAGTCGCTGGTGAGTGTATGCATATTGTTTCTCCTGACAGTTCCCCTCTGACTTGTTGCTGTGATTCTTTTGAATGAGCTCATCTGCCTACTGGTAAACAATAGATACAGTCTGAGAAACTGTAACAACTGCAAAACTCTGAATCACTTTTAGCACTTTGTGGATACTTTTCACAATCCAAAGATTCTTTTTCTTTTGCTGCTGCTGCATTCTCATGCCCAGTTTCTTAGTCACCAGATCATTGACAGTTTATAATTAGTGGACAGAGCTTCTAGGTCTGTGAAGTGATGCCAACGTGCTAGTGTCTTCAACCTGCCTCCTTTCTAATGGCCAGCAGGGGGAGCTCCATGGGCTGCAAAAAAAAAAGGCTGATAATATTGAGAAATTACCCTACTTCTCACTTAATTCAGTAAACTTAGTAAACGGTTTCCTAATGAGTTTAAGGTCTCAATCTTCAGTCTTCTTCCATACAGCACAATGTTCATTTAGTAAATGATGGTCCAATTTAGAGTAAAATAGATGATAAAGCAGGGTATGCCTTGGTCAAAACGCAGAACTCGAGGCTTCAAAACGGTACTCCACAAACCAATGGGTAACGTCACAATAGGTTGAACCACCTAGTTGAACTTCTAGAGCAGCCCAGAAGGGAAAAACCAAACACTGACTGTAAATCGGGGCCCTTCTACTTGTTTTGCTGCCACCGTAGTTTCTCCTACACCGTTCGCAGCCCGTTCTCATTTCCAGGTTGTCAGAAACAGACACGAGCAGTGTTCAGTTAGTTGCAATCTAAAACCACCAGATGCCACTAAATCCTACACACTGGTCCTTTAGGCAGATATAATGTTTACCATGATC